GAAGGTCATGGTTGAATGCGTTTCAGCTGACACGTCAATGCGTTACAGATCCACAATTAACGCATTACATTACCGAGACACGACGGGAAAAACCAACAAATCAAAATCAAGATACATCGATTTTTAACGGAATTCGGATAATTACCGTACTAAAAGTTGGTTTCTATTGATATTAATTAGTTTTCTACTCTCGTGTGGTAATATTTTTATCATTTTTGCACCCGTGTGGTCGCGAGTGGTTCCGTGTGGTCGCGAGTGGTCCCGTGTGGTATTTAGTAGGACCCTAATGGTGCCACCTTGCTTTGAAAACATGCAGACAAACAAAGAAAACCATATTTGACCAATTCACTACAAATCAGTCTACATATTTGACTTCAAGTGACACTTTATAAATTTATGCCTTCAAGAAGAAATTGTGGAATAAAACAAAGTACACTTGGCAAACTATATGGTTTGATTTGCTTAAATGTCACAGATATTTTAAGTTACTATTAACTAGCTAATTGTTGTTTGGATACACAGTGACAATGTTTTTCCCTTGCAGGTATAGTTGTTTTCGGGTTAAACAGACCAGCAGCTAAGAATGCTGTTAGCAGAAATCTCCTGAAGATGGTAAGTACTTTTTAAAATTATAATTATACCAGCGAACTTCATTAGTGTCTGACAAAAAAAATATAGCGCCCTCTATGTAATAATCGTAAAATAGAGCACTGTATATGTTATTCATGTTTATTAAAAAAATCACATTCATAAACATAAAATTCTCAATGCCACCAATAAAAAATAGTATAAAATAAATTGAAGACTAATGTTATTAAAACAGAATTACAATGAAAATTAGAAATTGTAAAGGTGTAAAGCATAATTATAAATTATTTTGTTACATAAAAATATATTATATGTAATAATATTAAATATGTATATAATTGATTTAACAAATACAGTAAATTGAAATTATTTAAAAAATATTGTTATTGTATGATACTCATGCATTATAGCAGTGGAGTTGGCAAGTGAACAATATGTGGCAAAGACAAGCCAAACCAGTCACTCGTCGCAAAAATCGATTTTGAGTTATTAATACAGTATTAGAGAGTAAAATAATAGCTATAAAATGGTAATAAAATCATTCAAATCCGACATTTCCTTAAGAAGTTACAAGCATTTAAGCATACAGCTGTTTAAAGAACAATATATGAGAAATCGGCCTTCAAAGTTTATGATTTCAGGCATTTCTCATGCAGAAGCTATCATAAAATCTTTAAAAAGTGTTGTTTTAACATTGAAATTGGGAAAAATAACAGCACAGCATGATGTAGAGATACATAAACCTCAGTTTAGTGAAATAAAATAGATTTTTAAAAATTTTACATTCTAGCATGTTTTTGCTATTTTCTCTGAAACACAATTTGTGACGAGTGACTGGTTTGGCTTGTCTTTGCCATATATAGTACAGAAGATAGTTCGGCCTCCAATTCAAGACCACACTAAATCCTGAGACCTTAATTCCACGACCAACTTGACACCACTTTTTCAAAAAGTACCAGAAAACAATTCTCAATCTTCTGAAACGAAGTTAACCCTGTAATTGAAAACAAGCCTTGATACCAACCAAAATTTAGGGCTGAAATCTTGCCATGGATTGGAGTGTGAACTGTACAATTATTATTGTAATGTTAGTAACTTTAAATTAGCCGCTAATTCAGAAATTCGTAATTATTGGTTTTCAGTGGAATTTTAAAGATTAATATTATTTTTCTAATTATTTTGTTGAATTTTAGCTTGAGGATGGTCTAGGAGCCGTTCGTTATGATAAAAATGTCCGTTCGTTGATCATTAAAAGTGATGTTCCTGGGATATTTTGTGCTGGTTAGTGAACATCATCTACTTCACTTGCTTTCAAGTAATAATTGAACAAGATTACTCAATTATCAGAATCAATTTCATCCTTGCCTTTGTAGTTGTTATTAATATCAGTTTTTTTTTTTCAAATTCCCAAATTCAACTTTATTGTAATTATTCATTTAAATTGTAATTGGATGAAACAGTTGACAGTACTAGGATTGATAAAACCATTCAAAATACAGTAAGACGAAAAGAAGACAAACGCCAAGACAGGGGGGATAACATCAAAAATTTACATAAAAAAATTAACAAATCTTATTAACACAATTTTAAAAAGAATAAAATAATTTCAAAATTCAACAGCAAAAGATAAAGAATTTGCAATTTAAATTGCAATTAAATATCATCACCATCATGGTCATCAACCATACAGTGATCATCTCTATTATACTGCCCTCGCTATCATTGTCATTGTTGTCATCGTTGCCATCATTGCGAGCACCATCATCATTGTCGCCATCATCATCATTGTCATCTCCAACATCATCACCAGTATAGCATCACCTTCATCATCATCATCACCATAATCATCATCGCAATAATTTTCATTTCCGTATCATCACCACATTATTATCATCATCAGGATTGCCATCAAAACCATCTTGTTATCAATAGTTGAAAAAATTGTTAGATAAATATCACAACTAACACCTCTTAACCATCGCTGTCACTATACTATATGTCACAATTATTTTCCCGGCTTATTTTCATTTTTTAGGAGCCGACCTAAAGGAGAGAGTTACATTTAGTCCAAAGGAGGTAGCAGCATTTGTTGACGGGGTTAGAAAGTTAACCATGGACATTAGCAACATGCCCATGCCGGTGATTGCTGCCATGGATGGGACAGCGGTTGGAGGCGGGCTAGAGTTTGCCTTGGCCTGTGACATGAGGACATCAAGTAAGTCATTGTACAGTATCCAGGGAAGTGTAGGGAGACTACTGAGCTAAAGTCTGAATGACCTGCATGCTCCCACCCTTTTAAGTTATGCATCATGGGGTAGGGACATTACTCTACTAATGGTCCTAACGATGTACATACGTCCAGCAGCTTTAGGCGAGAATTTTTCTATACATCGTTAGCGAACCGGCCGCCCACAAATAATGAGGATTTCAAATAGAAATAGTTTTATTTTTGGCCAATTAGTGCACCCACTGCCACAAAAAAATGGAAATTTTAGGAAAAAATAAAAATTTATTTGTATTACACCTGACACTGCCTTGAAATCTCTAAGAATAAGATATTATACCAGTATTTCTTCCCAATTATATAAATTTTAAAACATTTACTACACTGTATTATTTTATTCACCAATAAAACTTTAGTTTTATTTCCTTTTCTGTCTGCATGTTTTTGGCAAAACTATTTGCTAAATAAGTAAATAAAATGTTGTTCTTATTTTTTTCCCACTCTCCTCTGACAAATTTAAAAAAAAATAAGTTTTTGTGAAACAACTTACAAAAAAAAATGTCCTGCCTTATGGGCCACTTGTCCTGGTGTGGTAAGGTCCTTATCACCTTCATACAGTACATTATGAAAATGAAAATTAACCAAACCATGAATCATGCCATAGGATATACAAAACTGCCCTAAGATTCAAAAGACCCACAGACCCGACCATAACCAAATTAGGCATTATGGTGTAGGGATTTCACTCCACTAAGATCCTAATATTAATTTTTATTATTGTCAATGTCTTTTTATTGTCAATGTCTTTTTGACTTTAATGTAGTATTTTGTTAACTGTTCTTTTTTCCTTGTGTGTCTTTTAGCTACAAAGACACAACTTGGCTTAGTTGAGACAAGACTGGCCATAATTCCTGGCGGTGGTGAGTAGACAGTTATGTAGAAAAATATTTAGCATCCTAGAAACGAATATTTATGGGCTTATATAAAGTAATGCATAATTTTATAACTGATGAGTTTTGTGTAACTTGATACTGGTATAAAATTTAGTGATAAAACAGAGACAAGTTGAGTCATCCAACAATTTCCAACATATTACCTTAACATCGACCATCCTAGCTCATTTCTTGGTAGGTAGACCCTTTTCAGATAACTGCTCAAAACTGGAGACCCACTAACACATTTGGCAAGTGTACACTTTAAAGAACCCAGTGCATCTTTTCAAAATGTGGGAGGGGTGGGGGGAAGTTACCACAGTGCTCTGTGTATTTTATAACTCTTGGCTCTGATTGATCTTGGACCCTGTCACATGTAAATCCTGTCAAATTTTAACCCATGTGTACCCCTAATAATCTTTGTCTAAGCCTTTAAATTGGCTTTGTACATAATTTGATTTTTTATTGTTATTAAGATTTACCACAGTTACACATCGTAGATTTCTCCTCTTTACTTACTTGTTGTAGGTGGAACCCAACGATTGGCCCGTCTTGTAGGCTCCGCTTTAGCTAAGGAACTAATTTTTACTGCTCGTGTTTTCAATGGAGCTGAAGCTGCTAGGATGGGCATTGTGAACCACGCTGTAGAACAAGACGAGAGTAATGAGGCAGCCTACAAGAAGGCTTTGGATATTGCCAGAGAGATCATACCACAGGTGGTGTATTATCTATCTGTTAATTTCTATTAAAACATTAACGACTTTATGATGGCTAAATCAGAATGGCTTTATCATATTTACTGTTTGCTGCCCTCTATTCAACCAACCACTTGTATAAACTCTGTCTTTAACATGTACTTTCAGTGTCGCAGCACTAGTGGGTCACATGAACAAAATACATAAATATAAATATACAGAAACCTAAATATGAACAAAAGAACCAATTAAATTTTGACGAAGACAAGGGAAGAGATTTGGGTGCTCAGATACAAATACATTATGTGTTTTGATCAAATTTTTAACGTTACTCATCGGCACTTTCAAAGTTAAAAAAAAAATCATTTCTCATGTCTTATTTTGTGTGTGAAATACATTTTAGAATTTATGGTTTTATTTGTGATTTCAGGGTCCAATTGCAGTGCAAATGGCTAAATTAGCAATTAATAAGGGTATGGAGGTAAGTAAAGAGTACCATGATGGATAACATATTCACATCCATATTATCTTAAATGATTATAATTACGTATTTTCATGATGAACATGGAAACTCTATTGTTACTTTTAAAAACAGTACCTCTGTCCGTGGAAGGCATTTGGCGCAGCGGGAACAGTTTGGTCAAGGTCATTTAAATCAGAATATAAATCGTTCCTCATATCTAATTACAGACTTTAACTCCACTAATCTTCTTTATTTAAATCACATCTGTGTCATCCTATCCAATCCCAGTTTATTTTCTTTTCCCTTTTATACCTTTATAATGTTCAAATCTATGTATATGTTATTTTTTTTTTTTAAAGCATTGTCGTTTTTCCTTTTGTTGTTCTTCCCTTGTGTTCGTTCCGTCGTGTTTTGTCTTGTATTTGATTATGGAACAAATTACTTTTCATTTTTCTCTGGTGGAGCCAGCCGTAAAGCCATTTGGGCTTATTTGACTTCTCCAGACACGATTGCATTCGATTTTGCTTGCATCTTTATTATTTTTGTCTTGTTACCACCGTTTATGCATTGTGTGAATAAATATGAATCTGAAATCTGAATCTGATGGTTTCAATCCCTCGCTGTGCATTTGTGTCCTTGAGCAAGGCACTTTGTCTGCATTGCTTCCCTCTACCCAGGTGTATAAGGGGTACACAAGGAGGTTTGAGTGCTCAATGTGCTGATATATTTCATGCAGCAAACTATGGTTATTTGTGTGATGGGCCAGCTATATATAGTTGTGTGATTATTGGTTTAGTGGGCTATTTCTTATGAGTATATTTCTTTAAGTTTTTGAACAAATGAAAATTTGAACAGACAAATGATGTAGCTGGCACTGATATTGTTGATGTAATTTGCTTTAAACAATTATTAAGGTGTTGAACCTTATTGAATATTCACATACACAAAAAATAACAAAATTAATATATAATTATTTTATGTAATAAATGAACAAATTTTAATGTGAAATTCTATAGTTTCTCACAAAATTATTTACTTGGTATGTTACCATTATTATCATTATTACCTAAAAAGGTGCAGAACAAAACAGGTTAGTCTGCCATAATCTTAAACTCTTGTGAACTGAACAATATATAATAATATCATTGTGAAACAATGACGGATGGTCATGGATTGTTTGATTTTAATCATTGTAGGTGGATCTCACAAGTGGTTTAGCATTTGAGGGAGCGTACTATGCCCAGGTCAGTAATATTGATTTTGTTATTCATAAAAGGGATGTATCAAATTTTTGGCTCCAATGCATACATAGGGTGCATTTTTAATGGTCTTGATGGATGTAATGTGTCCATGTGCATGTGTTACACAAACAAGTCTTAAGTTGATGGTTTTGAGTTTTGGTGTGTAGTTAGTTATTAGTTTTGGAATGTGTTGCCTTTTTGTAATTTTTTTTTTTTTTTTAAAAGATAAACAGGGTAAATCAAAACCTCTTACCTTTATAGTATATGCTGTAAAG